AAAGCTGCTTCCCAGAAAAGGTGCAGTGGTTTAGCAACAGCAGCAGGAGTTAATGACTAAACATTAAGGGCAAATAAAAGAAAACCTGTGGCTTTGACTCAGAGAGCTGCAGAATCGTGGCCTCATGGTATTAGGATCCATCCTACTGTCTGGAGTTTTAAAATAGACCTTTAAAACCTGGAGAGAAGCAGGTTTGGACCTCATGAGCTACATAGTCATGTAAGGATATGACCACCAAAAATCTGATATAGACTGTGGGTTCTAGAAACTTCATAAGTTAATGAGAGTGTTTAGAAACCAATGCTAATGACTGATGCATGCTAAGGCCATTGAGTGACCTTGGAGTTACCTGTTAGTAGCAATAGCATTTTGTTCAAGGCAGTATTAAAAACAAAATAGATTTTCTTAAATACAATCATCAATAATTTACAAAACGAACCCAGTGAAGTCTAAGCAAATGTGTTCTCAACATGCTTTTTGCTCCTATTTTATTTTATTTCTTCAAAGGCGGGTTAAGAGAAATCCAGAGCCCTGTATATGAACACATAGTACCTTTATAGAGCTCTGGCACTTCCTTAAAGTTCTCATAAACTTGAATTGATTACACAAGTTGAACATAGGCTTCTTTTATCATCGAGACAATAACTTCCTTGTTACAATACTATAGGCAGTTTTAGCACATAAAAGATAGGATCTGCTACTACCATTAAGGAATTTGGAATGCCAAAACCATGGAAGTGTTTGTACTTTATTAGACTTTAGAAAAATTTCCCTCCCATTATCTTTAGAAGGTACTATTGCTCTCTCAGCATAGTGCCCCAGTCATAGAATGTAAAGGGTTGGGAGGGATCACCCGGTCCCAACCCCCCTGCCACGGGCAGGGACACCTCCCACTCGAGGTGGGGAGCCTGGCAGAGCCTGGGGCTGCTTGTGGGGCTGGTTGTGGGGCTGGTTCCAGGGCTGGCTGTGCCAAAGGACATCCCTCATGCTGCTGGGCTGATGTCCAGCTCACAAAACAACCCTCCCAGCTCCTGCAGTGGCACCACCGTGGCAGAAGCCAGAGATGAGTCAACACTGAGGTACCTTCTCATGCTCCAGCAGCATCTCCAGCCCAGGGGCACCATCAGCCAGGCTGTGCTGCACTCTGACCCATGGACAGCTTCCACGATCAGCTCCTGGCTGGTCTAGTGCCTCCCTCCAGTCCTAAATCTGCTCCTTTGGTGCCAGTTTTGTAAAGTTTGGTGGCAGTAGCTCCTAACTGTGAGGTCCTGGCCAGACAGTGGTCTTTGAAAACATTCTGTGAGGTTTTTTACATGTAAAAGCTGGTATAACCTTTGATAGCATAAGCTGTGTGAGGTTTCTGCTTGCGAAAATAGACTCTAAGGGGTAAGAACCTTGTGTGATTCACCCTGCTGTCTGTGTAGAACAGAGATCTCAGAATATCAGCATCTTTATTATAAAGTAGGTGATGCTTGAAGGAGGCCATTTTCCAATGCAGCATTTTAGCAAATTTACATACAATAAAATACAAAGGTTGGGGTTTGTCTGTTGATGACACTGATGTATTTTTCTAGGTGTGGCAACTTAGAGGGTGAAAAGGAGAGAAAACAAACTTTACTTTGAGCTGCAAAGGATCCCAAAATGGAGCTTGCAGTAATGCAAGGGAATAAGACTCATTGAACTCTAATTGGCTGATAAAATGCTTTTAGGTGATAAAGATTTTGAAGATCTTTCTCTAAGACAATCTAGGACACATAGATATGTTGTGGAGTGCATGTGAAAAATTACTTTTATTTAATTTCCCTTGGGGAGCAGAACAATAATTTTTATTTGCTCACATTCACCATCCATTTTGTCCCAGTTTTTGTTTGAGATTTATCTTTATTGAATCCAAGAACAAGAAATCAAATTGTTGACATAAAGTCAATAATTTATTCAAGTTTCCCCATGATCTCCAATGGCAGCAGAGTGTTTTTATGATCCTTTTTCCCAGAAATGACTTCATAAACTCTATTTAGTTCAGGTCTTCTGGTCAGATTTGATGGGTCCAATAACAGTTCTGGCAGACTTCACTTTGGCTGTTCAAGGGAAGCATCTCTTTTCACTGGCACTATCCTCTGCTGGGCTCTATCATGCTCCCCATTATCCCAGGACAGCAGGGGAACACCTGTGAGTGTGCTGATGATAAATTGCCTGGTAAGGAGAGAAGGTACTGAGGAACTTTTATCTTACCTGGTGGTTTTGATGTGCCCCAGCCCTGGTGCCACATGCTACCTGAATCAGATTTCCAGGTTCTCACCTATTGAAAATCATCCCATTTTGTTTATTTCATTGGTTAAATACATTTGCCCTTTTGATATGTCCCTCATCAGACATCTTGGATTTATGAAGCTCCTCTGTTTGTTCAGCAACCAGAGCTTGTGCTGTGAACTTTAATCACTGAGCAGAAAGTGGGCAGCGTTCCCAGTCACAGGGATTGCTGGAAGGAAACTGCTTCAGCTGAAAAACCTTGTCAGGCAGCTGGGCCAGTGCTGCCATGGGGGCACCAGTTTCATCAGGAAGTATTTGTCTTCCTTTCATCCACTGGTAATTCTCTACAAAGTTGTAGAAAACCTTTGTACTGCAGGAAATTGTTAATCTTCCGGCTCCAACCGAAGAGTTCTGTCAGGAGCAGAAAATGTGTTTCTCTACCAAACTGAATGTTCTCTGGGAGAGAGGGACAGGCAGTTCACCTGAGAGCAGGTCTGGGGTTCTGGCAGTTCCTGAACTCCAGTCCCTGTGCTGAGTCCTCCTTTCCTTCTGATCTGAAAGAGATCATTTGGCTTTTGTGACCCTTCATCTCCTCTGTAAGGAGTGACCAGGCAGAACCCTGACACTGTCTGTGTGACGTGTGTTTCCCAGGGAATCACTGACAAGATGTTCCAGATCTGTGATTTCTGGGTGTTGTTTGGGCTGAAAAGGTGTCTTTCCTCTGATGGGGAGCACAGCCAGCTGGGCCAGGCCCTTGTGGAGCGTTGTGGGAGCAGAGACGATGCCAGGTGTGCTCTGCAGAGCTCAGAACTCCTGCAGAGCAGGAGGGGCCGTGCAGGGATTGCCCTGCAGGAGCCTCAGCAAACACGATGTGCAAACTAACACGGCTTCCAGATGGCGAGGGTGGCAAGACAGGCCATCTCCTGTCTCTGAACTGACTTTATACTCTCTCTTTTATGTTTGAAACAAACAAATCGAGGAGTCCTACACAGAAGGTGTTTGACGTGGGAAGGATTCATAATTGTTTAGTTGATATGCTATATTAACTCAGTATCTCCTTTGTAGAGCATTAAATACACATCACACACCTGCTTCAACACTATTTAAATAGAAATTGATCTAGATTTTTTTTTAAAATGTGTAGCAACATCAAATTAACTTACAACAAACCTATGTTCCTCAGTGTGGTCTTTTATGTTTGTTGTTGAGCAAAAGAAAAAGGATATGCAGGTAAGCAGAGTCAGACGAAATTAAAAGAAGAATGAAAAAGTCAGGAAAGAAGAATTAATGTAAGAAGGAAAAAAAATAATGCTACAGCACCATCATTTAGTAAACACCTCCCAGCATTAAAGGGATTTAATTAGTTAGGTTGAGGGGTTGTTTTTTCGAATAAGAAATGGATACCACTGGGAAATGCAGAGAATTTAATTGCTTGCACAACCTTTGCAGGTAGCTGTGTTTGATGCTGTTTAAAGGACAGCAGCCAAGTGTGAGGGTTTGCCTGGCAGCAGCACGGCTGGCTCTGCCCTGCAGAGGGCCAGGAAAGTAGGTTAGCAGGAAGCAGCCCTGGGCCTGGCTCTGGAGCAGTGCTTGGATGTGTGCTTTGAACTGGGGCACAACACTTCATCTGCTCTAGCTGCTCCCCTTCTCCTGGTGCAGTCACTGAAATGAATGACAGTATTCTTCAGGCAATAGATGGGGATGATTAAAAACTTCAAAAATAAGACTCTTCATTACAAAAGGCCTTTTACTGTCTGTCTGGTAAAGTGTCGTGGGCATTTTCCCTCTTACAGAGCAAGGCATAAGATGGTTCAATTATTCATGTTGAAAAAATAATTTCCTCTCAAAGAGTCAAAGGAACCAAGCCATTGTTGCCAGAGCAGTTTTCCCATTAACTAATTTTAAAACTTATTGTGCAGTTTTCGGTTGGCTTAGATGGTTAAGAGCAGTTGAGCGATTAATTATTGAAAATGTAATGTCAAAAAAAGTCTGCTGTTTGCTGAACCTCTGAGCACTGTTCTGTTGATGAAATAGTAATCTCTTTGTAATCTCTTTTCCTTGAACCCCATAGGCTTTTCTTTGTTTTTTTGTTTTTTTTTGTTTTTTAATCTATTTTAGAAGCTCTTTGTTTCTTACTTTAACTTTTCCATTAAACTTGGGCTATGGTTGCATTTTTTTTTTTTTTTTGCTCAATACTAAGGGGTCATTTGTCAGCTCTTCTACCTTTTGAAGCTGTTTCTGAGTACTAAGCTCAAGCTTTGTAACTGCCTCTTGAGAGTCACAGGCTGTAAAGACCTGAAACAAGTGGAGCTGAGGTATCACTTTGCTGCTCTCAGAATCTAGATGCTGATGTTGGAAAGTGCCTGAGACACAGTCACATAGTCAAGGAAATTAATAGGTTTTGGTGAAGTGTCTAAATTTCTTCAATATTTCAAAATGCTCCCCTTAGTCTGAACTACGTTCTAGCTTTTGCTGTGGAGATTACAGGGCTAATGCTAGAACAAGAGAGAACTTCAGCTGTAGTTGTTTTTTTTTAAATTCCATTTAATTCCAAGATTTGGGTTGAATGTGACATGTGGTGAAGTGATACTATGGAAGTGTCTAAATATTAATTTCTAGTTGTTGTGCTGTGTCCTTTGAAAACAGTCAGTGTGCCACCAACTCCTGTTTTGTCCCTCTGAAGCCCCCCAGCCCTCGGGTCCTGCCCCCCCAGCGTCCCCCCTTCCCATGACGTGTTTTTGATGCCCCAGGACAGAACGTGCTTACGTCGAGAGGTGCTGGAAGGACGTGAGAGTGGGGGATTTCGTGCAGCTGCAGTGCAACGAGACCATCCCAGCAGACATCCTGCTGCTCTACTCCTCCGACCAGAGCGGGATCTGCCACCTGGAAACCGCCAACCTGGACGGGGAGACCAACCTGAAGCAGCGGCGGGTGGTGATGGGCTTCCCCAGCCAGGTGAGGACAGCCTGGGCACAGCTCTGCCCATCCCAGAGCAGAGCCACTGCTGCTGCTGGGGGAGTTATTGCTGCACAGGAGCTGCAGGAAGGCCCACGGTGCCTCTGCCAAGGTGGCCGTGGGGTCCCTGGTGGATCCTGCTCCTGCCCTGCAGCTGAGGCACCACACCTGGCTGAGCAGGGGGCATGTGGCAGCTCAGCTGGGACCTGCTCTAAGGCACACAGGGTTGAAAACATTTAAAGAATGGAATCTTTCACGGGAGTATAATAAGCATTTTAATAGGAACTGAAGGTTAAGGTAAATCAAAATTTTAAAAAATTATATGTTTGACATCACTTTTGGATTCAGTTTGAATGCTTAAAACCACCATTTTTTCATAGACCATTTAATTTATTTTTTCAAACACTTCTGTATTTTCTTGACTCACGTTGGATAAACCTGAAGTAAACATGAAAATATGATTTAAGGAGAGTTGTTCTTATTACATTAATAAGTATCTTTTCAAGCACAGTGGGGCAGTTTTTCAAATAACACAGTACAAGTTTAAGGAGTAGTAGCATGTGAAGATTATTTTTCCATTGGAATCACTCCAGCAGACAGGAAATCAACAAACCTCACAGATAATTCTAGGAATTACATCCGTATACTTAGCAATTAATAGCAGTGCCATTAGCAAGATCTTTTGGGGTTACTGGTGGGTGAGACACAGCTGCCAGGGAGCAGCCAGACTTACTACAGAAAAGCACCCTATTGCTGTGGCCAGCTGGGATCAGGTGCTGCACCTCATCCAGTGTTGCTTGCTTCTTCAAATGGAAGTTACTTTGCAAGAACAATTAGGGGCTTTCTCAGGGTTTGGCTGCCACAGCACAAAGTATACATTTCCCAGTGCCTTCCAGTGAGGATTAGGGTTAGGGAGAGGTTTTGTTCCTGAGAAACACTGGAAATGTTTAATATGTAGAGATTTAGCAGAAAAACAGGAAACTGTCTACTTTAAAAACATTTTTTCAAATGCTGTATTTGTGTCCTGCAGGCCTAGTTTACACATTAGGGTTTGTGGGTTTCCTTGTGGAGGAGAACAGAGGGCTCTACTGTCACACCAAATGCAAATTTCAGTCCCAGTCTTTCAGAATATGAGGAAGAAAATCAGCAAATGCTTCCCTGCCAGATTGTGCTCCCGACTCTTCATGGTCACTCCAGTAGACTTTGAGTTGTTATTTAGATAAACTGTGTGCCTGGGAGTGTCTGTGCAGAGGAGCTGCAGTTCCACTGGCAGAGTGGGAGGCAGTTGTGGTGATGCCAGAGTTCAGGAAGGTCAGAGCTGGAACAGTCACCTGTCTTATCCTGTTTGAGTTTAAACACTGTTGGTTAAACACCCCCCTGCCCCCTGCACAAAGTATCCCAGTGCAGGTTTTAGTGTGCCAGCTGCCTCCTGTTCTCTGAGCTGTTTCTTCCTGTGCTTTATGTGCTGCACAAAACTCCTCAGATGTGATGGGGTCTGTAAAGTGAGATCTTTAGAGATGCAGGAAATACCTGGGAACTGGGGTTAGTTCTTTGGTTTAGGACACGAGGAGGATGGAGAGAGACTATTTACAAGAGCATACAGTGAGAGGACCAGGAAGAAAGGCTTCAAACTGACAGAGAGTTGTGTTACTTGGATATTAAGAATTCTTCCCTGGGAGGGTGGGCAGGCCCTGGCCCAGGTTGGGCAGAGAAGCTGTGGCTGCCCCTGGATCCCTGGAAGTGTCCAAGGCCAGGTTGGAGCACCCTGGGCTGGTGGAAGGTGTCCCTGCCCATGGCAGAGGTGGCACTGGATGTTTTTTAAGGTCCCTTTCAACCCAAACCATCCTGTAGTTCTGTGATATGCTCAAAAATATTGAATTAAACTTCCTGTAAAAGACTATAAGAGAGGATTATTATTTTTCCTTTTATGATACTTTTGACTTGAATTTTCAAATGCAGAATTTGTGTTATCAAAAGAAAAAAAGTATTTGAGAGAATCATCCTTCTTTACCCCTTCTAGCTGGAAGCCTATTAGTTTTCTTTGTTAGTAATGAGCATTCTGGGTGACCTTTGCATTTTTCTGTTCTCCTGTTGTAAAAATCTTCCTAGCAAAACCAAATATGTACTGATTTTCCTGCTGAGTTCACTGAGTGGAACAAGATGCAGCAGAAGTGAACAATCTTTCTTAAAAGAGATTCTAAAACTATTCTTCCACATGGGTCAGAAGGTATACAAAATGCCTTTATTTTCCTCAAGCTTTTATATTTCCTCCAACTATTTTTTAGATGATTCTTTACTTTTTTGCAGTAGTATATATATATTAGACAAAAAGAATAAAAGAACCCATGTATTGCTTACGAAAAAAAGAACAGGAGAGAGAAAATATTGTAAAAATGAAAGCACTGTGCTTTCTGTAGAAAAGGGTAGGGAGGCCCAGCAGCAGAGCTGATTTCCAGCTTTCCTGACAGAGGAGTTTGGATTAAAGAGAGTTTTAGTTCTTTTAAATATTCTAATGCACAGCAATAGTTATTTTCTTTCACATTTCCCATATCCCATTTCTATTGCATTTTCTTAACTGAAAATCAAAGTTCTGTGCATTTTTCAGTTAAGAATAAAATCCCACTCGTGGCAGTCAAGTGCCTCTCCTGCTGCCTGCTCTCTGGAGCTTCCTGCAGTCCAACCCCCAACCTGCTCCTTGAACACTGGGAAAATCAAGCAAAATGTGTCCCTGCTCACTCCAGCTCTGAGGGAGCCCTGAGCCTGAACAGCTCTGTCTCATTTTGTGTCTCCCAGCACTTGGGGCTTATTCCACTGCTTTCCCTCTTCTGGATTTGTTGGTTTGTTCATTTGGGGATTGGGTGGTGAGGGTTTTTTTGCTGTTAGTCTTGATTTTAGTTTTATTTGAATATGGTACATTTATTCAAAGTGTGGGCAATTATTTTATGATTAAACCATCCTGGTCCATAGTATAAGCCTTCTATCATATTCAAAAAATTCATTTGAGCTTACTCTTCCACAGAGAATCTGAACTGTTTCACAGAATCTTAGAATCACAAAATGGTTTGGGTGGGAAGAGACCATAAGGATCATCCAGTGCCACCCCTGCCCTGGGCAGGGACACCTTCCACCAGCCCAGGGTGCTCCAAGCCCCGTCCAACCTGGCCTTGGACACTGCCAGGGATCCAGGGGCAGCCACAGCTTCTCTGGGCACCCTGTGCCAGGGCCTGCCCACCCTCCCAGGGAAGGATTTCTTTATATGTAATCTAAATCTACTGTCCTTGTTATATTCAGTTTAAATGAAGACAGATGTTTTCACTAATTGGCATCTGTGATGTCTTGTCCAATACACAGCATTTTCTTCATTTAATTTAACCAGTTGTTAGTTCAAGAGAGGAAAATCTTGGGTCTTTAAAGTTTTGCTTCAGGCTGAATGAGCTAAAGTGACTCTCTCTCTCCCAGGGCAAGTGCTCCAGCCTTGGTGGTCTAAATTAAGCTTCTCTTGGTGTTTGGCTTTTCAAGTAGTCATTGCATTTGACACTGATTCTCAGTGCATTTTCTCTTGCAGAATACTTTGTTTGAACCCGAAATTTTCCAAAGCACCATCATCTGTGAAATGCCAAACAACGATCTCAATAAGTTCAAAGGTTACATGTAAGTACTTGTCATCAGTAAATGCATTTTGGATCTGAACTTCAGTATTTCTCTTGGAGGAACTGGATGGAAGTATTTTGGGGATATTGATGGTTGTCACTATTACCTGTTCCTGGATTAAGGAGTCAATATAAAACATAGACTGGACTCCTTTTCTGAGGTGAGGCAGAACCAAGGCTTGGCACTGAGTTTGCAGTTGTTCCATACAAGCTGTTCTCACAGGGCTTCAACTCTCTTCAAAATTTAGACATAAGCTCATTTAAATTTGACCCACTGGTTAGACTAGGCTAGATTTTAGATATAAATCCTTCCTAATGTTTAAAGGTACCCAGTTTGATGGCTCTAATTTCTTCATCTTTACAGCCACAGGGAAAAGGTGTCCAAGATCTAACAAGCAATCCGGGTTTTCTTCTTGTTAGAAAGTTAGAAAAAGCAAACAAGCAAATTCCTGTTGAACTAATGTATTAGATTGGTGTGGAAAAGTGCTTTTCTTTAGTGTTTCTTCAGTGAATAATTCTGGCACAGGCATAACAAGGAAGTCTATGCCAGCAAATTCAGCAGACTTAAGCCTTTTCATGGACCATAAGGACATGGTTCATGTCCTAAAACTCTCCAACCCTCCAGCACAGGGCAGCTGTTTCCCAAGGTGCTCCTCAGAGCAGTAGGTCCCAGTCCATGCTGATCCCCACACCACACCACAGAAATGTCCCCCTGTCCCAGCCCAAATCCATGCCCCATGTTCCACCAACAGTTTAACTCCTGACTGTGCCACATCCCACCCAAAGCCGGGGTTGTTGTGTTCTGGAGCTAAAGCAGGAGTTAATGTCTCTGAGAGGAAGCAGTGAGAGTGTTCCCCTGGGGCAGCTGCAAATGGCCAGAGCCAGGCAGAGTGAGCCCAAGGGTTGTCTCCCATTAGCACTGACCGTGTTTAATCTGGGCTGGAGTTCCTGCCCTGTAGGAATGGTGCCTCTAACAGCAATGCCATTTCTCCCCTCTTGCAATATCTTAAAAGGCAAAGAGAGGTCAGGTTTCTATTGATTGCTGGCTGTGGTTGCTGGTTTGGGACCGCTGGGTATAATCTAAATTGAAGCAATCCTTCCAATTAGCCTGAGTAATACAGCACAGGAGCACTGAGATTATAGAAATGTGGGGGATATGTCACAAGAAAACACACACAAATACACACCCTTAGGACCCAGGGCTGGCTTCAAAATCTTCAACTTTACTGAAAGTCTGTAACAGAAATCTCTTTGGTAAATGCCTATTATCTCACCTGCTTGCTGGAATATGGAATTAGCTGCCTTTCTCTCCCTGCTTCAGGGGTAGATGAAAGAATTTGCCAGGGAAAATTACTCGCTAACAGTTAGTAGAGATTCCATCTTTGGTCTGCTGAGATTTGAGCTATTTTGTAAACACAAATTACTTGGAACAGGCTACCTTTTTCTCCAGGAACCCTTAATAAATTACTGAGGCTCTGTTGCCTTGCTATAACATCGTAGCAGTACTGCCTCTGCTAAAATGATTCGAAAGAACTTCGTGCCACACAGTAAGCTCTGTTCAGGGGGATGCAAGAAGGCTTCTATTAAATGATTTCACCAAGACTGAGATAGATTCCAAGAAAAACAGATTTCTGGCATGTTTTTTTACAATTCTGTTGGGTGTAGGCACCTACCCCTTTGCACTTGTCTGGTTTAAGTAATGAAATCCTGTGCAGCTGCACTGGGACATGGGGCTGTGCTTAGTCCTGAGGGAGCACCCAACCTTGCCCCCATCTGAGTGCCACTGCTGTTCACTGCTAAAGGCAGTGCCAGACATCAGACACAAAGAAGGAAAAGATGCATATTCTTGGAAAAAAAAATCTTTTCTGACCTGATATTTACATAACAAAACAAGACAGAGTGTGTGAAGTAAAAAATCTCAGCTTTGGTGAAGAACTCAGGGGGAAACTACCAGAGTGTCCAATAAAAACTAGACAAAGGTAGGCACGTGCATTCATTTTCAGAGGCACATAACAAATTGCCTGCCTGGTGGAGCTCTGACCTTGTGGTTTTCATCAGTTGGTTCTGTGAGCAGAAGGATCTGGTGTCACCTCATCATACACACACACTTTGCAAGTGGTCTTTAGAGACAGATTTGATCTTCCCTTAACTTCTTGCTGGAGTCTTCACTGAAGCTGAGTGGAATAAAAGCAAAATGAGGCCTTCAAACTTACTTGATTTCAACTTAAAACAGACAAGAGAACAACAATTTTGTTTAACACTTCATTAGAAGAGAAAAATTAATTGCTTCATTTGATATTCTTTCTTCTAGGGAGCAGCCAAATCATGAACGGGTTGGTTTTAACATTGAAAGCCTCTTGCTCCGTGGATGTACAATCAGAAATACTGAGGTTGCAGTAGGAATTGTTATATATGCAGGTAAGATGCACTTTCTATTCTGTACTTTCTATTCAGTGAGAATTTCGCTGTAAATATCCCTAAAGAAATAAGTATAATCTGATATTGCACTATAATTTTTAAAACTGGGAGTGCAGAAGAAAATTACAGAACTTTTTTTTTAAAGTATTACTCATCCATCTCCAAAGCCAGAAAGTCTTGCACTGGGTCTCTGGCAAGTGACAGTATCCTTGTGCATGTCAAATATCTTGCAAAAATATCCAGACAAGTAAAGAATTGCTGAGGTGAGTTTAACCCTCAGCTCTGCAGCTCTGACTGTAATACTAATTCCATCTGTCATAAAACCTACACAGCTGCCCTCAGGGAGGTCTCACTGGCTCCTCAGGGTGGAAACTGGTGCAGCTGAAGATCTACCCAGAAAAAACCAAAAAAGGACTTCCATCTGTGAATGTCACGCACCCATTTAATCTGTGGCAGTGCCAGCACTCAGGAGGCAGCAGCTGGAGGTGACAGAGAGGCAGCAGCAGCAGCACAGGTGTGTGCTGACACAGGCTCAGTGTGGCCAGGCACCCATGAATTCCTGCAGCACAGACACGGACCAGGAGAGGAGATGTCAGTGCCCAGATCCAGGCAGCAGTGCCAGGTTCAGCAGTGGGTCAGTTCATCTGTTCCTCAGCATCTTTTACCTTTGCAGTTTTACCTCTGCTCTGACTCAGGGAGCATGATTTGTCATTGGCTTTGCCAGCTGTGCCCTCTTCTGCTCCAGGCAGAGTGCATCAGCAACCCTCTTCTTTGTAGACTAAGTAGAGGTCAATTTAAACACACCAATTAATCCCATTGCCTATTTTTATCTTTCCAGTAGAGTTATAGCACGTGTTTCATATCTAATCAACAGTGAGGGTTCCAAGGCTGAGAAAATAGAAGTCACTGACTTTGCAAGAGTCATTTAGATTGGATTAAGCTCCAATCCAGGGAACAATTTCCGTGACAACTGCTTATTTCAGTTCTGCAGAACTGGGATCTAAATGTCTGTAGCTCCCATATGCTTCCAAGGTAGCTGTGTCTTTGTGGGCCTTGCACTGTTCCCTCTGAACACCACACGTGAGGGTGGTGCCCACCAGAACTACTCAATAACAATCTCAGTAGCCATCAGTCCCTACAGAACTGGAGTAACTCTCCTGTTGCAATTCCTATTTTTCTTCTGTTTAGTTAAGATCTCCCATTATGTTCCTTTGACCACCAGCACAGATCCTCATGTGGATCTCTGTTGATGCTGCTTAAGCTGCTGGTAGCAAAGGTTGGAGTTCTAAAGGTGTTCCCACAACACGGTGGCTTTGATCTGTGTAAGTCTTCAATTCAGTTTCCAACTGATGTCTCACTGGTAATGTCAGCATAAAAGTTTATTCTTTTTTTCCTAAAATTAGACTGGTTTGAGTCAGTATCAGCTTCATTTCCAGGGTTCTTTGACATTGATTATACTCTGGCTTTTAATCATGGTCTGTGACCTTTTCTGAACAGTCAAGATCAGTCACATTATAAGAGGGCACATTTTCCATTTTTATAACTCTATTACTCCTCAGACTTTCTTTCTAATGGAAGCCTTTGTGAAGAGCACAACCATCACTTAGAGCAATTGCTTGGCCTGTGCACTTCTCATCTGACCTGAGGATGGTTATACCCTTCAAGGCCACCCAGATGGTTCTATGCAAAGCAATAGCACTAAAGCACAAAAACCTCATAAGAGAGCGACAGCCAGTGTGGTTTACTCATTGTGATAGGGACAGCAGCAAGAATTAAATGCTTTTCACATAATAAAGTACCAGAAAGAAGTTTTAGATGAGCCCATCAACATCTAGAAATAGAGAGACAAGGTTTTAGTAGGGTGGTAGGTGAGGTGCTGTGTTGCACAGCAAAGGAAACTGGGAGGATTAGAGGATTTCTGATTGTCTGTTCCTTGCAAGGTGATATCTGTATTACAGAAGTGTCCCTCTCCTGATGGTCAGCTGAAGTGCAAAGGAATGGTAGCACTGGTATTTGCAAAGAAAGTCCATCACATGTTCTTCGTAAAATAAACCCATCAACATTTCCTTGAGTATTTTCTGGGAGGGATTAGAGGGTTTGGGCTTGTTTTGTTGTCAGCACAAAACATTCCATTAAGCCTGACACAGGAGAAAAGCGAGGAACAAGGTTCACCCAGCTGTGGAGGAACACAAGTGCAAGCAGCAGTGCCCTCCTCTCCTGTGCAGCTCAGTGCTTGGAGTGTTTGTTCCCAGAAGGCAGGACCTGGCTGTTGGTCTCAGTGCTGCCTGTCTGGGAGTGATCACAGCCCTCCTGCTGCTCAGGGAGCACTGGGAACACCTGCCCAGGGCGGTGTTGTCCAAGGTATCAGTGTCCACACCAGCTGCAGAGGAAGGAGCAGGGCTAGCGAGGGCTGGGCCCACCAGCAGGGCTCCAGGCTCTGTCAATAATTACAGATTCACTGGAATAGGAAGGCAGGAGTCCCAGCTCTTGGGTGAACATCCTGAACAGAAGGCTGGAGACTCATTTTCTTTCTTGCTCTCTGCCTTAATTAATAACCATTGATGTAAACCTGGAGTGGATCCAGCAGGTGTGATGGAATCACACCTGACTCCCAGCTTTGGGTTTGAATCACTTCCCCAGGGAAAGCTGAAAGGCAGCTTGGAAAGCAGTCCCTCACACACCATGCACATACAAATGAAAGCTAAAGACAGGTATGAGAGGTCTGTATTTTCAGGGAGAAAGACTGCAGAAATAAACATAAAAAATACCATTTAATATAGCAACAGATGGTGTCCAGACATCCCAATTGTGGAGCCGCAGTTTAGATAATATTAATAGAATTGAAAAAGCAATTTCTACTTCTTAACTTCTTACAGCACTCCTCTTTTTACATTACAAATAAACCAGCTCAATTCTAATTCACTAAGTTTAAGGGATGGGGTTTTTTTTAAATTCCTCATCGTACTGTTTTTTTAGCATTTTACAACCACATAGTGGAAAGCTAAATAACATTAGTGTCTGTCACTGCTTGTTGAATTTTTATTTAAGTTAATACATGAAATGTGTCTAGTGGCTTTTAAATAGCTGCTTAAAAATACTCAAATGTAGGTTTCAAGAATTTGTATAGCACCTAAGCAATTTTTTTGGTAAAATAAAAAAAAATATTATTGTTCATTTTCCTTTTATTCTTATGGAGATTTGGCTTTTGAATTGTGATCCTACTAAATACGCTCTCATTGGGACAGCAAAATGTATATGACAGCTGAAATCTGCAGTGTAATGAGGCCTTTTGTAAACCTCAGGTGTAGTCACTGATAGACTCAGTCAAATGGGAAGATGGGCAATAAAAGTAGAGTCAGATTAACATTAGTCATCCTGCTGTCATTTTGGGAGAGGAATTCCCTTACCTGATTTGTGTTTTGAAGGCCACGAAACCAAGGCCATGCTGAACAACAACGGCCCTCGTTACAAGCGCAGCCGGATCGAGCGCCGGATGAACGTGGATATTTTCCTGTGCGTGGGGCTCCTCTTCCTGATGTGCCTCGTTGGAGCTGTAGGTAGGAAGCACCGGCAAAAATCCTCTTCTCTTTCACTGCTCTTTCCCTAAGGGGTGGTTAAAGTTGATCTCCCAGACATGAGTGAGGTCTGGAGCTCAGTGCTCCTGGGGTCTTCAGATGGCTTGATCTTTCCAATAGATGAGTTAAAATGATGAATTTGAGCAGGCTGGTAGACGGAATAATTGTTTAGGTAGGAACAGCCTGTATTTTTCTGGGGTCCTTGCAGGTGAGAACATGAGAATACAGTAACCAGGATTAGCTGCCTAGAGTTTACTGGATTGCTGTTCTCAAAAACATCATCTTCACCTGCTTCCTTCCAGCTCTGATTGCAACCTGTCTGATGCTATTAATTCTAGCAGGCCAGAATTAATAGCTTCTCATCATTCTGAGGAGAGGACCAGATTTTAAATCCACTGTCTTTTGAATGGGTCATTGCTTTAAAGAGGTAACAGGGGCTCCCATGAGCCCCTTTTCTTTTTAATGGATTTTGTCTCGGTGACAACTTGCTTAGTGCTGCTGCTCTGATTTAGTGACAAAGTCAAATCATGTGGTTCTGCCAAGCCTTGCTGCACCTGCCCTGGAGGTATGTGATGGGACACACAGCCAGTGCTCAGTGTAATACCATTCAAAGTAGGAGCCATCCAAAACAGATGAACAATTGAACTGACTTAATCGCGTCTTTAATTTTACTGCTTCATGTTGCAGTGGGCTTTTTTGGCACCGAAATGGGATTTCAGTTTGACAACTGAGCTCTGTGTGAGAGAGAGAGAGACTTTATTTTCCTTGTTCCCTGGCTGCTGTCATGTAGATTTAGAGACTTGTCTTTGTCTGTTGTGTAGGGGCCCTTGAGTAATAAAGTCCTTCAATTTAAGGTTTAAAGTAGTCTCAAATGAAAAAATCAGCATTTGAAAACAGTTTATCTGCTCAGGTTAAAATGAAAAAAAAAAAAAAAAAGAACCCTAATGTTGTTAGTCTAAGTGAAACATGTGAAACAGTAAGAAGCCCATTAGCTTTCATCCATCCAGAGTGTCCCGAGGCTCTACCATGAGTTCTTGCTTTGCAGCCTTGTCTGAACGGGGGGTTCTAGGAAGAAATCCCACCGGTGCGTCAGCAGGATTTCTTGCACACAGTGATAAACTGGGGTAATAAGTGGCTTGCAGGGCAGAGTTGTTCTTGCTGAGATGTGACTCTGGTCTCCAGCAGCCAGAAAGCATTGCTGCAATATCTGAATATCTTTGGCAGCATTTTAGTAGGCAGATGCTGCAAAGCAACTGCTTCCTTCTGTGGTGCTAATGGGAGTTTGATCAGAGCTGGGTGTGTGGAGGGGACTAACAGAGGCTTTTGGCATCTGGAGCTATGAGGGAACCCAGCTGTTTGCCTTGGCTCAGCAGGAAGTTTCTGATACTGTATGTTCAGTAACTCTTTGAGCAAAGTTTATTTCCATAAGGACAGGAGGAAAAGTGGTAAAGCAATCATGATGGGATGTTGTTAAGTCCTGAGATGGAGCTTTGTTGTGGCAGATGTCTACCGGTATTTAAGACACGGTGAGAGGCAGGTTGGGATGTGATTTGATTGAAGGGAACGGAAAATTGAGTTGCCCCGACTGAATTATAGAGGGTTTGTCAATTCTGAAGACAACACATTGAAATTGAGAATGGTCAGGAAGGACAAGAAATGTTTCAGTTTGTTTATAAAAGGGTTCTAAGGTTTCTTTCAGTTAGACAGAAGTGTTTCCAGCACTGAGGATTTTTACAGACAGGAGGTAGAGATGGAGCCCTCCAGCAGCAAGATGTAGAATGAGGAAAGGTCTGTGCAGAGCTAAGAGCCCTGGGGGGTTCCTGCTGAGGGAGAGGAGAATGAAAATATCCCTGAGGGCTCATTTTTCACCAGCACATCCCTCGTGTCTTGGTGCTCCAGAGCCCTGCGGGTGCTTTGTGTTCCCCAGAAGGGCTGGGCATTGCTCAGGCCCATTGCTTTGGAAATGTTCCTTCTGTGCAGCTGCCAGGGCAGGCCATTCCTGCACATTTCAGGAGCTCTGTCCATCTCCTTGGGGCTCAGCCCATGTCAGTGCTGTCCCTCATTCCCACAGGACACGGCATTTGGACTGGAAACTTCTCGGAGCACCCACCCTACGATGTCCCAGACGAAAATGGCAATTTTCTGTCTCCAGTTCTTGCTGGTTTCTACATGTTCTTGACAATGATAATCCTGCTGCAGGTAAAAGATGAAAACCTCTCTGTTACCTCCGAGGAGGAAGCTTTTCAAAATTAAATATATTCACTATTGAACAATTAATATCAGCTAATAGCTGTGCATTACCTTCTTAATTCTATTTGAAAAAATTTCTGCATTTCAAACCATCCAAATGTGAAATAATGTATCTTCTTTTTATTTTTTCTTTCTAACTGCAGATTTTTCTTTCTTGCTGTTGAAACCCCACAAGGATATAGATAGGAAAGACATGTATTTTATCTTTCACTCTAGAATCTCTAGCAGATACAATAAAGAGGATGTTTACATCCAAATGTCAGCCTTCCCCCCCTCCCCATACAGAATTTAAAAATAATAATTCCAGTTATCATCTCAGGAAAACAGTGAAACAAAAATTGTCATTTTTGCCAGTGGGGAATAATAACTAGTTATGGTTCAGCTGGTCTAGGAAGGAAGCTAAATTAGAAGTAGGATACTTGTATATCTGAGTCTGATTAAGCTTAATTGGGGGAGAACATTTTATCGGGTGAGGTAAAAAAAAATCACATTTACTTTTCAGATTTCTTGATGTCACTGCTGAGATTTAAATGGACAGAATTTCTTTAATATGAGTGAAATGTGAAAATAACTTTCAGAGCTGCTCAGAGATTCCTTGGGGGATTATTCTTCATTACTGAAACAGAATATCTGTGCATCTTAAGAATTCATTATTATTTCAGGGCAAGGAAGTTCGTGGGTGGGAAGTGTGTGCCAAGTAATTGCTGGTGAAACTTTTCTGCACTCAGTCTGTGCTAGTGCATCCCTTCAGAGTTTCAGAAGGATAAGGGCAAGCACGGTCCTATGCCCAGAAAATGTGCTTTGTAAGGGCATCCTCTGAAAGACACATCTTAGAATTTGGTATGATAGGAATTTTGTCTTAAATGTGCCACTTATTGTCTCTGTTTATCCATGCCATTGTGTGCAGGACTTTTTCCCCCGAACTGTTATTCATCTGTTATACAATATGTCTCTAGGAAGAACTGTTTCTGTGGAAATCATTAGTGTGCCGTGCCAGGACATTGCTGACAGAAAGCAGCAAGAATTGTCTCACCGCTTACTGAGAATTTCAACTCTCTTTCAGACTCTGATCCCCATTTCTCTTTATATGTCGATTGAGCTGGTCAAACTGGTCCAAGTCTTCTTAATTCACAACGACATTGACCTGTATGATGAAGCAGCAGATTTGCCCATCCAGTGCCGTGCCCTAAATATTACTGAGGATCTTGGACAAATCCAGTATATCATCTCAGACAAAACTGGGACACTAACAGAAAACAAAATGGTATTTCGACGCTGTACTGTTGATGGAATTGAGTTTTCCCATCAGGAAAATGGTGAGAGATGCTTTTTTATTCTTGGGGTTTTTTTTCCTCTGAGAATTAAATGCTATTAATTTAAATATTAATACTTAAACCTACTGAGCCTTCTGATTGAACATAGAGCTTTGTGCATTTTTCTCCATTTTGTGAGGGACTCCTGTTAGAGATTCACGAAAGTCAAGGTGTTTTAAATGATTCAGAAGTCAGATGGGAAAGGTTTTCCACCTCAGACTCTGCCCTCCATTCAATACCCACTCGAGCAGACAAAGAGAACATTTCCTCTTTCATTTCTAGATGAACACCACTCAGCCTTTTATAAGCTCCCAAAATGACAGTAATTAGACTCAGTGGGTCCAAAAGTCATTAGCACACTTCTGTGTGCTGTGGAGAGCACAGCCAGCACAGTCCTGAGTGGGCCCTGCCCACAGTCTGTGTCTCAGGGCTCTTGGCATTCGGGGCTCTGAGTGACCCAGGCCCCTCCTTGGTCGCTGCTTTCTCAGTCCACACACTGGAAAGGATTTTATTCAGCTGGCAGGCAGCTGCCAAAAAGATGTTTGTGTTCTGTGACTGAAAACATTAGCAAATTTGTGAACTGCCATATTTCACTCTCCTGGTCCAGTCAACTGCAGAGTGCAGCTGAAGAGACCAAGCATTAGCACGAGTCCATAAAAGTGATGGATTGCTTTGGAAACACATTTTTGTTTTCTTGCAATAATAAACAGCGGGAGTTGCCAGAAACTGCAGTGGACAGGGAGGTTTTTCTGGTGCTGGCTTTTGAGATGGTTTTGCTTTGGTTTAGTTTGTTCCAGTTTTTTTTAACTGATCAAGGAATTCCACCCAAGCAATGCAAAAAAAAAAAAAAAAAAAAAACAAAAACCTCCAAACCCAAACCAAACCAACCAACCAACCCAAAGCCAGAAGAAGAGGTAAGGTTTCATTTTTCTTTTGCAGCCAGGCGCCTGGAAACCCACAAAGAGCTGGATTTGGACGATGAGGACTTTGCAAAACCTGAGCACTTCACTCTTCCCCCCATGAGCCCCCCGAGGCCGGGCTGGTCCCGGCAGGGTCCGGCGAGGTCCCTGCGGCGCTGCCAGAGCGCCCGGGCGCGGTTCCAGGGCCACGCCAGGAGCAGGTCATTGGGGCGGCGGGACAGCAGCCAGTCCCAGGTGGCCTTCAGCAGCACCATCGTGAGTACCACGAGCCCACTCCCCCTCTATGGCACACTGGGGAAACCAGCAGGGAAGCAGGAAAATCCCAGCCCTGCTGGAGCTGCCAGGGGGACGCAGGAGCCAAAGCTTTGGGTCCTCGACTGGAGGGTGCAGAATGCAGCCAGGGGGAGCGGAATCTGCTGGGGTTTACATCTGAAACCTCCCAAAATCTAACATGGCCTAATTAAAGTCAGGCTGGATTATTCTTCTTGGAAGTTTTTGGGATTTTTAATGGGCATTTCAGATGAGGATTTTGTGAACAGTAACAGAAGGTCACACACTTTCAAAATTAGAATTCCAATTAAAATTAAAGGCCTGGAAAACCCCTCCAAATCCTGAGTTTTAAAAAAAGTCTAGTAAATACAGAATTCTCAGAGCTTCATTTTCTGCACTTGTTGTTCATTATGAGATCCTCCTTACCCTATTCAGTTCCTCTGTCATATAGGAGATATCAGTCACAACTCTTCCTGTTCTTGGAATATGGGAGTTTTAACAGTTGTTATCCCAGGATTTCCCAGCCCAGTTCTCATGAGATGTTGAGAACATCTCCATGGATTCTTGATAACCCATGACTTGTGACTTTGGAGAACTTCTTATAGGTCATGATTTTTGAAATGTGATAAAGAAATTTCTTGCCAGTTTATTTCCCAATGAGATTTTTTACCGATAGACCTCTTCACTTTCTTCTATAAATAAACTTCTTTTTTTCCACTGTTAAAGTAATATCTGAGGAACTGGTATCAAATATCTCCTTTGCAGAGGAAGATTAAGTTGCTGCCGTGGACTCACAGGTGTCACAGTATCTGGATAAATTGTCTGGCCCCTGTGACAAATCTGAAGATGTAGTAAAAGAGGAGACAACAATTAGATACTGCCCAGAGGCTGTCCTGTATGTTGATGGCCTTTAAATGACACACAGGAGTATCCTTCTTTACCTGCCATGCCAATTCCCTATTAATAAAATGGGAATAATAAATTTTTCAGGGTCTCTGTGGTTCCTGCCCTGTGGAACTTGTATCTCCTTGTCTGATGCATTTGTGCTTTGCTCCAAATTTGGAGCATCCTGAGAATTCCAGGTATACAGAGAGTGTTGTGGATGTTAGCAGTCAGAGGTTCTGAAGAAAAATCCATCTTTGAACAATGGAACAGGATAGAGAATTACCATTTCTTCTCTCTACCTTAAGGGGTTCTTATGAACTAAGATAGGGACAGCACATTTCCTTCTAGATTTAATAGTTCCAATAACTAGTGCCTTAGTATTAGAAACATTTCATGGAGATTTCCATGAAAGAAAAATTCTCCTGATAAGTACTGACTTGTTTAAATTATTATTATTTTAAGTCTCCGATTCCTTTTAAAAGATCTGAGAAGACAACTAAAAAATCAGGCTTACCCTTAGCATGTATTAGTTTGCTAGAGAAAGGACTGCAAGTATTTCCTTGTATGTGAAAGAAAAAAACCTGAAAACACTGAGCCAGAAGAACCAGAGCCTTCCACGGCAGGGAGAGTGAAAAGCCTCGTTCCAGCTCTGGATTTCAACTGAGCTGCAAAACGAGCAGTGGATTTCCTTGCAATTCTTGGGATTATTTCTGAAGCACTCCTGACCTCAGCAAGCAGGAGTTCCAGTGCAGCACACTCAGCCCAGCACAGCCTGAAGGGGCTGGGGCACTTCAGCTGTCATTGTACAGAGCTGGGGAAAACTGTGCCAGACTGAACCAGGAGAGGGGGATAGCTGAGATGAACTAGAAAGCAGCTCAATAATTTGGCAGTTCCTCAAAGAAGACATCCAAAACTGTTGGCTCACAGGAAGCTGTCTTTTAAATTTGGAAGTCCTTGTTAAATATGGCCCTGAATTAAACCCAAACCAGATTCTGCTAACATGAAATTTCCATTAAAAGTAATACTCCCATAGCCCTACATCAAATTAAATTGTACATAAGTGACACTCTTTAGTAGTTTGGGTTGCAAAATAAGGTTTGATTAGAAAGAGTGTGGTAGTAAAATTAGAGAAACATTTCAGGAACAAGTATGTATTTATTTATTTATTGTAAGAATTGAGGCAGGATTCAGGAGGAGAAGCTGGAGGCAGCTTCTTTCTGGGTGCAAAATGAAGTTGCTCTGGAAACAAAAAGCTGTAACTAAGCCATAGGCACAAAATATTCTCTGTAGAAATGATGAGCAGCTTCCACACTGAAATGGAAGATCCCAAGTATACTTCCATCTGGAACACCCTTTAATTCAGGAGTCAGCAGTTTCAAAGTTGGAGGATACAGCATAGATTATTCTTGATTTTTAATAAATCTCAAAAGAAATAAAATTCTGGAATCCTCTTCTATTTCAAGATGCATTTCCTTCTAATTTTCTAGTTATGCAGCTTTCAGAAATATATCTTTTTTTTCCCTAGAAGTTAAGTACAAAAGGCATTTACCTTACATAATTCTAGGTGTAAATTCAGGAAGAGGCAAGAAATCTATCAAGTTGTCAGTTGTTCCTTGAGGCCAAGGGGAAGTGGGAATAATCCTCACTAAGTAATTTCTCTTGCAGGAAAAGGATGTGACTCCCGACAGCAGGCTGCTGAGGAGAGTGAGAGAAGCTGCACTCCAGGCTGAAAGTCTTTCTCCTTTTATCCATACAAGAGCTTCCACATCCTTTATTGACTTTTTTCTTGCCCTTGCCATCTGCAATACAGTGCTGGTCTCCACAGCTACCGAGCCAAGACAAAGGGTAATCTAACTTCAAGTGTATGAGGAAAATTGATTATGCTCCCATTTAACAGCACAGAGCAGTGTTCAGTGAAACCTGAAATGGTGAAAAATGGTTTCTTTGGAAGCACTCCTCTCGTTCCTTTACATTTTCTTTTTCCTTTTACTGTTTCCCTGCCTATGTATCCCTCTCTAACACAGCTTTTTAAGGTTGATGAATAGTTATGTCTACCATAGAATCTGCACTTTCTCCTTTAGATTTTCTATTATCTGTGCTGTAAGAAGTTTGTAGAACATACTCGGTTCTCTCTGATCTCCCAGGCTACTGACAGAACTCCAAGGGGCTTGACTGTATCTCTGCTTCAGAGGCAGATACAAATCACCCTCAAATTTGGATGCTGACTCAGCTATGACTCCTCTGGTGAATTCTCCCACCACATTTAAATAGGTTGCTGGGGAAGTATCTTGTAGTTCACATTTCTTTATTTTTAACTGTAGGTGTTCTCATATTTCTAGGTCACAGTTCCGCCACCAATAAGACCTTCAGGAATCACCCTGGAGAAGATCCATCAGATATTTCAAAGGCTGAAGTTAGCAAGCCTCAGCCAGTCCCTCTCATCGTCCCAGTCCAGTTCCGAGCTCGGGGCGAGTCTCAGTGCGAGGGGCCCCGAGGATTCCCTCTCTGCCCTGGCAGGCGGTGCCAGCGGGGCGGCCCCGGAGCTGCAGCACAGGGGCAGCACGGATGAGGGCACCGCTTCCCTGGAGGAGGTCTTTAACTCTGTGAGCAGCAGCTCTTTGCCCCCAGCCTTCTGCTACGAGGCCGAGAGCCCCGACGAGGCGGCGCTGGTGCACGCGGCGCGGGCCTACAGCGTCAGCCTGGTGTCCCGCACGCCCGAGCAGGTCACCGTGCGCCTGCCCCAGGGCACGCTGCTCACCTTCGACATCCTCCACACCCTGCCCTTCGACTCCGTCAGGAAAAGGATGTCTGTGGTGGTCAGGCACCCCCTCACCAAGGAGATCGTTGTCTACACCAAAGGCGCTGACTCTGTCATCATGGACTTGCTGGAAGACTCTGCCACAGGTAATTTCTGTTGTGTCTCCTACAAAGAAGAATTCAGTACTCTTTTCTGCATGAAATATTATATCTAGCTATTAGAAGTACAAAAAAAAAAAAAAAAGAATAAGCTTCGTCTAGTGTAGTGCTTGAGGTATTTATTTAACCTCAGTACTGCTTAGAACATGGAATGGGCTAATTAAAATTCCCTGCCAGCGCTAACCCATGTGGATTGTGTACTCTGCAATGATACTGTCAGAAGGGCCTGACCATTGTTTTTCAGCTTGTCAGCAAGATTGCTATAACATTAACAAACAAACAAAAACAAGTAACTTTATCTTAAAGGAAACAAAGATTAGTAAGCTTTCAGCTTCTGCACAGACAACAGTTCTGAGTTATAAAGAGATTTCTGTTGCACTGGAACCCACTTTTCTCTAATGCCCACTGTTTTTTAACCTTAGGCCATTAGATCACAAATGATCTGTGCTTAAAATACAGAATCTTTTCCTTGTGTTTTAGCTGAGAAGAGAATGAAAAGAATAAAAGAAAAAACACAGAAACACCTGGACTACTATGCCCGTGATGGACTGCGAACTCTGTGCATAGCTAAGAAGGTGGGAGAGCACCAGCCTAGTATTGTTTACAGCTTATCTCTGTATGTGTCAACAGATTTACTAGAAAAATTTAATGGTTATAATCCTTTCTGCTTCAGAGAACCAGCCAGATCAGCCCCTCTTTTTCTCCCCTTTTTCTTCAATGTGACCAGATGATGGATTTTTAGTCAGTCCCAAAACATTTATTTCTGTTTCTCTTATGGTAACTCCAGCTGACCTCCCCTTCCAAGCAAGAAACAAAAAATCTGCAGAGGAGCCAACGCTCTTCTGTTTTGCTTGGCACTCAGCTTTCAAAAATCTTGGGTTAGAGCCTGGGTTAGAGCAACTCAGTGTCATCTTCCATGCAGAAGGTGTCTGTGTGCAACAAATAGGTCACATCCAAGCTCTGGAGAAATGTAGCTCAACCTTCAGAAACTGTGTGTTCCAGTTCAGAGCCCCAGCTAAGGGCTGTGTGATCAAGAGTTTCTCTAGGTCGTATTTTTGACTCTCAGCTGAAGGCCATTTGTACAAACTACTGGTTCTTGCAGTTTTCTCTTGGAAGAGTTTGTTATTTTGAAGATGACACGGTACTTTACCAGCTTGGATAGGAGTTAAGCCTCTGTGATCCTGAATGTTGGCATCCCTCTCTTATTTAAATTTAAAATAAGCTCTGTTTAAATTGTGTTATGCAGGTCTTAAATGAAGATGACTTTCAAAAATGGGCCAATTTTCGTCGGGAGGCAGAAGCTGCAATTGACAACAGAGAGGAGCTGTTACTGGAGACAGCACAGCATCTGGAGACCAAACTCACCTTGCTGGGTACTAAAAATAACAACTGTCATTGCATGACGTAGCATTGGCTCTGCTGTGATGTTCTTGGCAATCAGACAGACAACAGCTTATACTAATTTATATCCAAAATCTTGCTCTGAGGTTTGGAAATCTCCAGGCCAGGGAGATACAATCCAATGACAGTGTCTATACAAGTTTTTGTGCATTTTGAGCAGCAGTAACTTTGAAGAAGTGCACTGAAACTCTCATGTGCCAGGAGCAAAGAACACACACATCAGCTGTTACTGTGGCTCAGCTGACACAGCAGATAATGAAACCACCCCTATTCAATCATGTGTCCTTAGATAAACCCATAAAATACTAGAAATTAACTTCAGTTTTGAGCACAAGTTCCAAGGGAATTTTGGTAATTGAACTGTGTTATAAAAACCAGTAACTTAAACACGTTGGCATTTTGCCAATGAATTCCTGTTGTTGTTGAATTGGTGGGTTTGCTTTCTGCACTTTGTAGAAGGATGTTTAATGTTAAAACTTATGTTCATTGGCACTTCTGCATCATCCATCACTATCTTACCTAACAACACATTCTGTTAAATTATGAAGCACTTCAGTGCTTTCTATTCTATTTTGTTTCCAAACATTTTGTTCTGTATGACTTTGATTTTTGGAGTTGTCTCAGTCTCATTTTTCTGTGAATACAATTTGCACCCATATTTCGTTATCCTGAATTTCTGTGATTGCAAGCTATTAGCATTATGGCTTCTCATAATCTCTGCAGTGATTTAAAAAATTAGAGTAATAATGGTAAATGCCATCAGGAGAACACATAAGAGGTAATGCAGATCTTGTCAGAATCTGTTACCTTTGCCAACTCCTAAGGCTCTGTGTGCTTTTATACTTTAATTTACAAAAAGTGTTCTTTTAGCTTAAATTGATACCTATCTTTAATGTACCACAGTTACAGCATCTTCAAACTGACCTCTAGTGGAGGAGATAAGGAGTATTGCAACTCTCAGATGGTGATTTACCAACATCATCAGGATGAGCGTTGGCATCTGCTCCTAAGTTTGTGTATTTTCAAAAAGAAAATGTACTGTACCGTTTCTTCTCCCTTTGATGGCTGAAGAATCTAACTTGACAATGGGGACAGCATTCATTTAAATACTCAGAGTTCATCTTTTCTGCTTGCTTTGATAGGACTTAATGCAGTACTTTAAAAATGCATCTAGTGTCATTCTCTGCCAGTACAGTGTCATTCTGGATTATTAGGAAGAAATGAAATTCATTGTTCTAGCAATGAGCAAAATGAAGAGCGAGAACTTGGCTGCTGACACATTCAGACCTTAATCCAAATGCAGATCTTGTGTCTGTGTTTGTTTACTGGACAGTACCTTAGCTCAACTCTTGATAAGTTCAGGAGCATGACTGGAAATCAAAGAGCTTTCCTTAAACAAGAAAATAGCAATGTGATTTCCACAGAAAGAAAACTGTTTCTCTTCTTTTCGTGTTTGCCCAGGAGCAACAGGGATTGAAGATCGGCTGCAGGATGGAGTGCCTGACACTATCGTGGCCCTTCGAGAAGCTGGGATACAAATCTGGGTGCTGACAGGAGACAAACAGGAGACAGCAGTGAACATTGCATACTCCTGTAAGCTCCTGCACCAGAGAGACACCGTCTTCACCATTAACACTGAAAGTAAGGTAAGGAGAGAAAGCCAAGATGCGCAAGAGGATGCTACAGAATTTGCTACATTGCCCTTTTTTCGTGTCTTGTAGTTTGGTGCTGCTTTGCTTTTGACCACATTCAGCACAAAAAAGTCAGCAAAAATCCACATAGCATTAGGCCAGCAACTCTGCAGACCACACATAACAGGATGAATTGAAATACGAGACACTTCTGTAGAGTTTCGTTCAATTAGAATACACTGGTTTTTCCAAATGAAAATATTCTTTTTAGAAATTGCCTGAATAAGTAGCTATTACCTGAATTACTAGCTTTAGAAAGAAGGTAATATGCAGTTTAAGTGCCTAATTCCTTAATAACATTGATTTCTGGGTTTTCACCTTACAATGGAAATTTCAGTGACAATGATATTTTAACCCTGGGTGATATCTTTTGGAAGACATTTGGAAAGTACTTTGAGTCAGCCAGGAAAAAGTCTACAGGTGTAGATCTAATTAAATTCAGAATTTTCTAGTTGCACGTTCCCTAATAGGATTAGACTTAACCAGAAATTTATTAGTGAATAATTTTTTATTTTTTTTTTTACCTTTTTGTGTAAGCAGAATTTCACTTTCTTGAACACCCAGATATAGTTCTGATGGGTCAGTTGAAAACACAGTCACTTCCTTGGCATTCCATGGTGGTGCACGTCATTGTTGATGTGCACAGACATTCCCTGAATTTCCACAGGCAGCAAGAAGGGCAGGCAGCAGGCAAAGCAAACACTCCCAAATGAGGATAATCACTCCAAAGGCAGGTCTGTCAGCTCCTGTGACTCACTAACACACAGTGAGCAATCTGTGCTGCAGTCCAGGGCTGTTCCTGACACCATCTGAGCAGAGCAGAGCAAGCACAGTCCTACCTTCCCAAGATGGGAAGTGCCATCCTGGATGGGGAAAGGCAAAGGCTTTAGAGAAGCCACCCTGGTTTTTGCTGGCTGTGGAGCAACACAAGCAGGGTACCAGAAAAACCATGCCTTGATTCCAGAAAGTAGAACGGCCACCACTGTGCAGAGCTTTGCACCTCATCCCTCCAGGCAGCCAGGTGGGATAGGTGGCTTTGGAGATGGATTTAGGGAAGAGCGAGTCCAACATCATGGTTAAACCAGATCCATTTGCTAAGGAGAGGTCAGCCCTGACTATTTCTAAACCCAGAAGAAGGGTCCAAGATGTGTGATTGCCCTTTTTGCATTTTCTTGCTGGTGACCTCTGACTTCCCATAGAGCCCTGGCAACCCCTGAGGTGCTCCCAGAGCAGCCACTGCCCTTTTCCCAGTGCTGCTCTGTCCTTTTATGCAGCATCAGTCGTGGTCCCCTCAGCAGGGACAGGAGGCACCGTGAGATCAGCCCTTCCATGGGCTGGCAGGAGGCTGGGGAGGGCAGGTGGAGCTTCCCTCTGTCACTGGGCAGGTCCCCTGTCTCGCTGTCCTCTGTTTCTCTCCCCACAGAACCAGTGTCCCCAGTATGAGCTTGCCTTTCTCTATAAAGCTATTGTGAGGATTAATTAAATATAGTTCAAATAGAGACTGTTTTTCTTGTGATAGGCAATTGTGCAGAGCAGTGAGATGGCCTACTTTCTAACTGCTTTTGTCTGCAGTGAGTAGCTCTCCAAAAAGGAATAAAATCCTGTGCAAATGTCTGTCTCTTTTAATGTCATGGGAATAGGGAAACACGCAAAGATGATGTGGAATTTGGCATGGAATGCTCTCCTTGCTTCAATGTGTAATTTCATTTGATACGCAGATCTGCCCGAACGGGAGGCAGAATGAATACATTTAGGATGGAAATTAGGAGATGGTTTCTGCCAGGGAAGTGATGCTGCAGGCAGGACCACCCTGGCTCCAGGAAACACTTCCCCACGGCACCCTCTGATCCGGGCTCAGACACAGCTGAGCACAGCTGGGCAATCCCAGGGGGTCACTGGGTACTGCAGTTGCACCACAAAGAGATCAATTCCCTCCCTTCCAAAACAAAACTCAGCACAGACACTGGCTCTGAAAGGGGCTCCCAGTGCAGTGAGGGACACACACAACTCAGACAAAGTCTAACCTGTTCACTTTGCCAAGTTAACCCTTGAAGGAGGGTCAGTAGAAGGCCTTCTCTTTACCCCTGAGCCCAGCAGCTCATTCAAACACTGAAAATTAAATATCTCCAGGAAGATGCAATGTAAGGAGGTACCTTCGGGGATTCATTTCAAAAGCAAGCCAAGGCAAACCAGGAATTTCCACTACAGTTTTTGGTTTGTTCACAGAAAGATGATGCTTCTTCGGTATTTTGTAGAGGTTTTAAGTGTGCAGGATTTGTATTAGATGTCAGAGATACATTTGATTCCAGAACCTCCCACTTAAGAGTAATTTAAATCTTGCAAACATCCTACACATGTACCTTATGCAACATAAAGTGAAAATAACATTTTAGAACTGAATCATCACTCAACAAAGCTAACAGAAAAGGTAGAAAAAGGAATGATTAGCTCCTCAGGTATTCAGTGCCATGCACAGAAGGAGGACTTTCATTGCTAAGCAGCAGCAAAATAAGATCATTCAGGGTTTTCTCTGATAGTGGTGTGCCAGTTTAGAAGATCTGTCTGGGAAGTCTGTTTGTATTTAATATTGAGTCAGTTCTGGTTGTTTGCATCTAAAAGGGGGCTTGGACCAAAATGAGGCAGATTTGCTGAGAGAGAAGGACTAAATTTGTGTTTAAGACACAGTGCTGGAAAGTAGGAATTTTTATTTGTGTTCCTAACTCTGACACACACCTGATATGGGACCTAGAAAAGGCCAAATTCTCAAATTACTGGATAATTTTGATTATTTCTCTACTGCAGTTTATTTCTGATGGAAGCAAATGCTGCAATTTCTCACATCATTCATATCAGAACCAGATTTTTTAATCTCCTTAAAAAAAGAAAAAAGGATTTTGTTTTTCATTTCTGAACTGTCAGCATTGCAATGCACACGCGTCCTCCTGATGTAAAGATTATTTTATTTTCTTTAAAAATAATTCCTTCCTTCAGTCCACTGGCTGATGAAACGCTCAGTGTTTCCGTGGAAGGGTTGGGTGATGATGCTGTTGCAATAATCCCTGATCAGATGGGCCAGTGCATCTCCCAGTCAGTTCTGCCTGATCTGTCTGATAGGCTTAAACCCCCCGGCACGATTACACAAACACACTCGGCGAGGTGCTGAGCTGGAGAGGGAGATGGAGACGAGCATTGCTAAAACCAGGCCTGTTTTCTGGCAGGAAACTTGTGAGTCTCTCCTGGATTTAACCCTGGAAGAGGTGAGGAAGAATTCTGAGTCTGACGAACCGCGGAGGACGTTTCTCGGCCTTCTGCCAACACCCCTCTCGGCCCCCGAGGCCCCCGGCGCGGAGTTCGGGCTGGTGATCGACGGGAAGACGCTGAACCTCATCTTGCAGGGGGGTCTGGAGGAGAAGCTGCTGGCGCTGGCTCGGCGGTGCCGCTCCGTGCTCTGCTGCCGCTCCACGCCCCTGCAGAAGGGCATGGTGGTGCGGCTGCTGCGCAGGCAGCTCCGAGTCACCACCCTGGCAATAGGTACCCCCCGAACCTCACAGCACAGAGGGGAGCAGGTTCCTCCTCTGAGAGTTAGGGGAATGGAGGGATTACACCCTACACGCTGTGCCTCAGACAGACACAGTGAGGAAACCCCACCGAATAATCTTTCCTTGTCAAAACGCACATGAAAGCCCTTCTTCATCTTCCACTGAGCAAATCTGGGCCCCCTTTAAATGAGATGAAGGTGCTCCAAATTCAGAAACTCCCAGCAGTCCCTTTCATGCACATCAGCACAAACACATGTACGTGTTCCCTTCGGAATGTCCTTGCTTTGGGCCTGTGAAGCGCTCAAGAGTAGTCACTAATTTGTCTTTTTATAAAGCCCTTTTCCTGTCAGATTTTCCCAGCTGGTGAAAACAGAGTTATCCCCAGAGTGGTATTAGGCAGTGACTCATTTGCCTTTTACCTCCAAATAATGTGAAATGTTTTGAGTTCTCTGCCCCACTTTTGGCAAGTGATGCCACTAAAATCCTTGCAGAATTGATTTTTATTACTTCCAACTAAAAAAACACACCTCTGTGGACCAAACAGAAAAGGAAGAGTATGTTGTATTTTAAATTTTTTTTTTGCTTTGCCTTGTAGTTCAAAATGTAAGCTTACAGCCTTCTGCTCCATCTACCTTGCTTTACCAGCTAACCTGATTTACCATCCCCACATTGCAAGCGGCAGCCATGGCTGTTCTTTCCCTGGAACTGTGGTTATGTATTTCATATATTGCTGGGAGTTGAAACAAGCAAAATAACTCCTGAAATTGGCTTGTTACATTGTCATCTGCAATCCAATTTATCCCACAATATGGAGAATTCAAGTAGTGCTGCAGAGCGTGTTGCTGAGCATATGGAGCTCACCAAGCAGAAACACAACATGATACAGATGTAGATGGTGTCGGGTGTCCATCCACCACCCAGCTGGTCCCACTGTTGGAGCCAGGTCTCCTGGAAGGGAGGGAGAATGTTCCTACCAAGGACAGAGCCTGGAGGTCATCAGGGCTTGGTGCTAAGTATCAGTTATGCTAATTAGGATGCAGATAGAACAGAATAGCCAAAATAATCAGCATAGCTAAGCTTATTTCCTTCTGATAGAGGCACTGTGCATTCAGCACACTTTCTTACACTTCTGTTGTTCCCCCCCTCTTCCCATTCTAGGTGATGGTGCAAATGATGTGAGTATGATTCAAGCAGCTGACGTTGGAATTGGAATATCTGGTCAGGAAGGCATGCAGGTACCCTGTCAGTTTACTTCTATTCCTCTTTTGTCATGTGGTCTCTTGCTGTTTAACAAGTTCCATAGCAGCCCTGTGCTCTCGAGTGTCATCTTAGAAATGCAAGTTGGCATCATTACTGTCATAAATTAACATGCAGTTCGTAATTATGGGTCCAGCCAAAAAACAGCATTTTGAGCCAACAATTAGCATGCATGGACAGATGTGTGTTTGCTCATAAGTCTGGAAAATCAGCAGATGCCTGTCCAGTGTTAGCTTAGCATCTGCTTTCTGAATCCTCTCTGCTACTGCATTTGCAGGTTTTGTAAATTCTTTTCCCCTGTTTTCTGCCCTGAATTGTTTCCCACACATCCCCCTTCCTCACACTCCTTAAATGGAGAGTTCTGCAGAGAGAGTTCCAACGATTTTCTTGAGGGTTGGTTTTTTGGGTTTTTTTTCCTGCAATATGCAATAGTAGGAAATTATTTCAATGTCTGTGATCAAGTCTCATTATATGGAAAGGGCTGGGGAAAGGCTGTATTGTAAATGACCTGCTTTTCCTCTCACCAAAGGCAGTGATGGCCAGTGACTTTGCAATATCCCGATTTAAACATCTCAAAAAGCTGCTCCTTGTCCATGGACATTGGTGTTATTCCCGCCTGGCAAAGCTGGTGATTTACTTTTTCTACAAAAATGTGGTAAGATTATTAAAATTATGGTGGTTTTCATCCTAGTAAGGGTTAATTCCAGGGCTGGTTTGGGTTTTTTTGGCCTGGTTTTGTTTTTTACAGGTTATACTCATACTTTTTATGAAGCTACAGTTTGTGTTTCTTCACTTTGCAAGTTTATAATGTGGCACTTCTTTCTTAGCAATGTGCTGCATAAAACACTGAGGAAAACATGGGCTTTAAATATATTCTGAAACTAGCATTATTCCAGGGGGAAAAGGACTCAAGGCTTAGTAACTTTATATGGTAGTTCAAGAAACTTCATTAATAATACCCATGAGCCTCCAAATAAAATTTGCATAAGGAAGATCAAATTATTAGTGCTAGAATATAGAGGATGACTCTGCACTAAGAGTTGCCAGCCTGTGAAACATCTGAATTTTTATAGCAACCACTTGCAAGTAATGCTGCAGACATACCTGGCATTTTTATTAAAAATTTAATGTATATGCAAATGAGCTGTGCATTGAAGTATTATGTAAAGTCGAAAAAGGATAGTAATTCCATTTCTACAAGACTGTGCAAACAAGTCCCTTTGACATGAAATACACTCTGATCATGAAAGGCTATTTACTTAGAATTCAAAGTATCTGTTTTTTGAGGGGTTTTATTAATTTTGAATAAGGATTACTTCTTATCACTGTTAAATTTTTTAGTGGAAACGAACACTTTCCTTTTTCTGACTGGCCATCCTTTTAGAGTTCAAAGGATATTTATCTGCAATGTGAAATATCTCTCCAGAGTGGGATGCTGCTGTTCTATTATCTCCCCAGCAGCATTAGGGAGCAGGAGCCCTTTGATTCCACGTGGACAGCCAGTTTATGCAAGGATTCTAAAATCTGGTGCTTGGAGCTGTAAACAGTTTACTTAATTATTCTCTGATATGTTCTTAAGGAAACCTCATGGCTTTTCAAGAGCTCTATCCCAGTGGATTGCTGTGCAGCAGACCCTTCAGATACACTGCTGATGGAAGGAAGGGCAGGGCTGTCTGCTGGCAGTACCTGTAACCAAAGCAGGTTACAAAGGGCTCTGTCAGCAACCAGTGTCCTACACAAACCTGGGAGGTGGAAGTGGGAGAGTCACAGACCATCTGTGCGTGGGCACTGAAGGGTCCAGAGCGGGTGCAGGGTGGGGACAGGGTGGGGAAAGGAGGGGGATGGAAGGAAGAGGCCACATAAGAACTTCATGACTCCCACAACCCAGAGAGAAATGGAACCACATCAGCAGGAAGAATGGGATGCTGCACATGTGGAGGGGCCCAGCACAGCTGGTAACAGGCTGTTGGATTTGTCTTTGCTTCTCCCCAGAGCTACGTCAACCTGCTCTTCTGGTACCAGTTCTTGTGCGGGTTCTCAGGCAGCATCATGATTGATTACTGGCAGATGATTTTCTTCAACCTCTTCTTCACCTCAGTGCCCCCTATTCTCTTTGGAGTCCTGGATAAAGATGTTTCTGCAGAAACACTTCTAGGTTTGCCTGAGCTATACAAGAATGGACAAAATTCAGAGGTATGTCATGATGGCTGAAGTAGCTGCTTGATAAGCCAAAGGACCACAGGTTTTTTGGTCTGGGAACAAGTGAAGGAAGAAAAGAGTTTAGACTGACTTGGAACCAAATGTTCCATTTTATGGTGTCGAGTTTACTGATGTCCACTAAAAAAAGGCATAATTGTAGCTGTCAGAAGAGCTGGAACACACGGCTGAAGTTGCTTCTTGGAAGTGATGCTGGTGCTGGGTCATGGTCAGAAGATGTAAATGGAAGGTTTATTCTGCCATTAAATGTGAGCAGCAATCCCAGCATGTCGCATTATAATAAGGGAAATGACATGCTAGGGACTCAGCTCTGTGGTTGGATTTTTTGATTGAAGAAGAGATGGTGGAGCAAACACGTGTGTGTGTGTGTGTGTGTGTGTGTGTGTGTGTGTGCATACATATATGCACTGTGTATATGGAAGGATTCTCAGTGAAGGCTTATGGAGGAACAAAACAGGATAAAAGATGTAAAAGCTGAAAGTAAAATAGTTTATCTGGTCCTTGGTTAAACTCTGCTCAGATTTGGTGCTTCAAACACTCTCAACCTACTAAAGAACCTACTAAACCTACTAAAGAAAAGCTCATTAAAAAAGATTACAGCAAAAAGTGACAAGAAAACACAAATCCTTAAATCAATAAGCAACCTGACATTTTTTTTTTCTCCTCTCAGGTTCAGAAATACACCTGTTAATGTTCTAAGGTCTATCTTTAGTTAATAGAGAGAAAAGGTCTGTTCAGAGATAAGCCTTTGCTTTAATCAGCTGCTCATGAGGCATTTACTCATGGAGACCAGTTAGCTCTAATCAGTAGTCTGAATGGAATAAAAACAGGCAGCAATTATGTCTGCAGGACAGGCTAGGGATATGTGTCCCATCCTAATGACTGTTATCTGTAAACTCCTGCAGATATACAACCTGTCCACTTTTATTATCACGATGCTGGATGCCTTCTATCAGAGCCTCATTTGCTTCTTTGTCCCCTATTCCGTAAGTAACAGGCTCATTAATATTCTCATTCTCCTCTTCTCCTTAAAAAGTAGAAAATTCACTTCTGAATGGTCAGGGTTGCTCATACTGCCTCTGCCTGTTTTCCAGGTGTACAAGGACTCTGACATAGATTTGATTTCCTTTGGAAATCCCATCAACACCATCTCCCTCCTGACCATTCTCTTGCACCAGGCTCTGGAAATGAAAACCTGGGTATGTGTTTGCCCTGCCCTGGTGACAGGACTATTGTGTTTTTGGGAACACAGCACCCTGTGCAGGCATGCCATTGCCTTTCAGAGTCATTTGCCTGAATTCTGGGTCACAGAAAGTGAGTAACAGATGCACTGAGACCTCACAATGTGCCAGAATTTGTTATTAGCCCCGGGATAACACCTTCATGTGCACAGAATTTGTTTGTGCTGTGCCTTTGGACAGGACAGAGCACAATATCTGCATACTTCATATGAGGACGTGCTACTTAGAGAACTGAACTCTGTTGTTTTCTGAGTTCATTTCTGGCTGTTTCTCCTACTGCACATTTCAGTCAAATGGCCTAGTGGATAAATTCTTTCCAAGCTGTCTGTGTCACCCAGAGCCAGGGTCTCACAGGCTCTGTCCTCTTGTGCCCTTCCCACAGACCCTGTCCCAGCTGGTGGCAATCATCTGCAGCGTGGGCTTTTACCTCGTCTTCTCCCTGATCTACAACGCCCTGTGCCTGCTCTGCAACCCTCCCACCAACCCCTACTGGATCATGGAGAGACAGCTCACAGAGCCCACCTTCTACCTGCTGTGCCTCATCACCCCAGTCACGGCGCTCCTGCCCAGGTTGGAACGAGTTCCCCTCTGTGTTCCTTGTGTGGATTTGTGGGCGCTGCAGGGCAGTGCCAGCAGTCCTGTGTGCAGAATTGGGATGTGTCAGGCACGTGTCCTGCACGGGGATGGCGCAGGGCGGGGACTCAGGTGCCTGGGTTTGACTTTCCAGTTCACAAACCATCCGTTTGTTCAGTGATATAACCTGAGATAAGTCACTCTATATCTACTCTTTGTGTCCCACGGGAAAACCTTTCTTTCTGGGGTGCTCCAAAGTTTGCCAGGACAAATCTGCTATGTGATTGTTCACTCTCGTGAACACAACATGGTTGAGCTGATCAAGACTAGAAGGCAAGTCTTTGCAATATTCCTATAAGCTTTGAGAGTTACAAAATATATTCTGTTTTTTAAGTACTTTGCAGTTCATTACCAAGCTAAATTTAAGAACATGTTTCTGTATGAAAACATTTTCTTCGTCGTGAATTTTATTTTACTCTCTGCAACAAATCAGGTATGTTAAAGATAACTTTAAGTGAGACTGGATATTTGGAGAGGGATAATTATTTTGATACACTGCTGGAAAAAAAAATGGTTTGAAAAACAAAATGATTCTGTTCCCATACATGTATATGGGAAGCTTACTACTTTTGGTGCTTAATACCTTAACTAATCCTTTATGCAGATATACCTTGTTTGAGTTGCACCATTTATTTAAATTCAAATTCTTTATTTGTGCTTGGACAATGAAAGCACACCCATCTGAGTTGGTTTGACTAGCTTCCTAGTTTCCTTCTCATCCTAATTGCCATGAAGTAGTGCAGCACACTGGTACTGCAAGAATCAGGAAAATATTTTTAGTATCTGATTTTGTAAGTGCTTTAAGGCATTAGAACTGAGCCTTAACTTTGTCTGAAAAGGAACCTTTCAAGACTAGATAGTCTTTTTCTTCAAATTGTTATTATTATTCCCCCATTTGAGTTGAGATGCTCTTGTGACTTCATGTTCCGTTATATAAGTTCAGATGAAAATAAACAACACATAGTTCAGTAAGGTCTCATGTCTTCTGGGCAGGGCACCCTTTTCCAGCCTATTTTGCTCCTGTGTGAGTTTTGTTTTCCTGTCAGGCCTCATTCACAGGGTCATTTTTGGCCCTGAGCTTCCTACTGAGCGCAGCCTCCCACACGTGCTTGGAGAACTCGCACGCCCATCCTGGGAATTCAGCACAGTGAAGATCCTTGCTGCCTCAGCAGCTTGCTGAGCTTAAGGATTTTATCTTGGCACCTTCAAAGCTGGAGGCTGGGGGCCTGGGCTGTGCCCTGCCTGCTCCAGGCTCTCCCTGCAGAAACATCTGGCAGTGCTTTGCAGTGTGCCCTCTGCACATCTGCACCTCACAACTGCCCATTAAGTTGTGGCTGCACAGCATTAAGTCCTAAAATCCTCAAGCCTGTCAAGAAAGGGATCTGAATTTCATGTTTGTTCATTGGCAAGGGAAGGCTCTGTGTCTCTTGGAGGATTCCAACATACAAACCAGATGTATTTGTCCAGCTGTGGAAGGCAGACTGGTCTGCCAGGACCTGCAGAGACCCAGCAGACCCTGCAGGGCTGTGGGAAGGGCAGGAGCAAGTGAGAGCAGTTCACAGGATGGAAGACACAGTTTTCCATCCCTTGTCTGTCCTCCTGTCTGGCCCACCTGCAGCTGGCCCAGAAGATCCAGAGGAAGGTTGAGGGGAAAGCCAGAGGACAGTCTGATCCAGATCTGTGCAGACCCTCGCTGTGCTCTGGGACTGACCAGCCTGAGCACAGGCACACAAATGGAATTCCTCCACTCCTGCTGGTGCAAGCCTGAGAAATCATTGCCTTAAAAGCCCTTTCTGTACTGAGTCTGGCTTGTTAGCCTTCTTAATCCTGTCACACTAATTTATACATACATTTAGCAGCAGGATGGGAAGACAGCAGCTTTCTCAGTGCAAAAAAACATGTCCCCACGTTTGTTTTAAAATGCATGTTGAGGCCATCTATGTAAAGGTCAAATCCTAATAAAAAGATGCTTTCAAGGGGACACTGGTTTTCCCACAAAGCTGACATGACATGGAGAGAGGATGTGTGCTCTCTCACTGCACACAATGTATGGTTATGTAAGTTCTGTATCCTGCAAAGGGCAGGTAGGACACCTTTTGGTTGCTGCCTTCTGAGCAAATCCAAAGCTGAGGTTTTAAAATTTCTAGTTTCCTGTTATCTACCAAATTAAGATCCTTTCTTTAGCCTCTTTTAGCAGTATAAATAGAATGTTAATATTTTCAAATACTGCATCTCTTGATGAACTTTAGTGTCTTCACAGGTCAGCAATTGAGTACTTGTAAATACTAAGTAAATTATCACATATACATATAGTTGACTCTCTGTTGTGTTAAGATCCAGGAGTCAGCTTTCATCTGCCAGGTATAAGGTGTCTACCAAATGCCTGTAGAGCAATGGAAAATTAGCAGCTGGATTTGTGTTATGTGATGAGATTATGGAAGGAGCCCACTGTTAAGATAATCCATTCTCTTTCTCTTTCATCAGGTTCCTTGTTTCTGCTCTCCGAGGAACCTTTGGAGCATCTCTGATTCTGAAAGCCCAGCAGATAGATAAACTTCCTAAAGGACAGCAGGATCCTGAAATCCAGAAACTGAGATCAAGAAAAGGAGCTACTTCTGGTGCACCTGCATGTAATGATGAGCTTGACCAAAGCATCAGCCACTTGTGTGTGTCCCCATTTCTACACCCAGCAGCAGCAGCAGCAGCTGTGTCTCAGGGGGACACAGAGCCTCAGGGATTTTCCACCTCTGCAGCGAATCCTCTCGGGAAAGGGACCCCAGAAGAGGGCTACTATTTCTATAACAGGTGGGCAGAGGAAGAATGTGCCGCCACAGACTCTTCCTCAGGACCTTTCCCTGGCCCAGGTGCCCTTGCAGCCAGCAGGGAAACAGCTCCTGGGCAGGTGAGCAAAGACAGTGCCCCCAGCTTTAACTACGGCAGCCACCGGCGCTCGGTGAGCGCAGTGACCCTCTGAGCCAGCTGTGCCAATGACCCACAGCCCCCTGGAGAGGGACCTGAGGGCAAACAGAGCCCATCTCTGCCCAGCTCACTGCAGGTGGAGAGAGGAGCAGCAGCAGCAGCAGCAGCAGCAGCAGCAGCAGCAGCCACGACGGGACTTCTTGACCTCGCTGGTTTTGTCACGTTAGAGGAACGTTACCTGAGCATCACACACTTGCTGAGAATTGCCAAATCTATTTATTTCAATGAATATTTTTGTACCACATTAATAGGGAATAATTGTACTAATGAGGTTTCAGTGTTGTTATGCTATTGAGGTAACAGAAGGAGGATCCAATCCTTATTAAATCAAGTCTTAAGCAACACATCCCACTCTAGCTTTTACTATCAAAGTCTTAAAAAGACCTCACTAACTTAAAAATTACAGTTCTGCTGGGAAAAAATGTTACCTTTGGGTACTAAAGGTACTTGAAGAATAAAAAAAATGGAAAGACACTAGAGAATGTTCCAGGTTTTAATATATGGACTTTCTACATGTAAAAATATCAGGTCCATAGCCTGTTTTCCCTGAACAGTAAGCTCAGTACTTTTATGCAGGTAGTGGTTTGACCTGATATTGTTAAGAAAAGGACAAATGAGTTTATAAGGAAAAATACAAATACTGAACTGCAAGAACTGCCAGGATAACTCTGTGATAAGTGGAGTCTACTTCTTCATACCTACAAAAGCAGACAGATAAAACAAGTCATATTCAAGGATTTATGTCAAAGAATTCTAAAGTTGTCCCTGATTTTTCATCTAGAAATTCAGTTTCTTCCTTCCATTCTTTATATTCTCATGTAGTGTTGCTGCATTCAGCCAAGTATAACTCGTGCTCCTCCCCACAGCTGGTCACGTTCTGTGGTTGATGAGATCTCAGTAGTGGAGATTTTGACAAGCCATATATGAAGGTCACTAATCACATTGCAGTAAGTACATGGTGTAGAATGACCAAAATATGCCTAATATGTTCATCCTTTTCAGTATCTCAGGACAACAAGATGCAGGAAAAAAATCCCATAAGATGTCACCATCATCACTACTTATTGCAATGCAATGAAAGGTGACTTGGGTATTTCTTATAGAAATGTTGACTAGTAAGACCGTTTCCCAAGTTTTCTTCACAATGTGGGATGAAATCTTAACTAGTTTTAAAGTCAACCTATTTGTACTTTTGTGAATCTACCATTGGTTCTGATCTAAGTAGGTTTTTAGCCTTTTTTATACATGCTGTATTAATTTAGGTATTTAATAACTATCACAATATGTGATCTATTTAATAACCTACTTAGCAAATACTAATTTAAATTCTGTGTGTTATAATAATTCCTGTAACTGGACTTTTTAAGTTCTTACTTTAAAGCAACTCAGGCAAAATTGAGCAGCGTATCTGCCCCTGCGACTCCTGGTAGCCAGAGCATGTGTAGAACTGCCATTGTTAAAGTATTAATTGTCAGCTGTAAAACAATTCAGAAAGAGATTTTTTGCATGATGTACAGAATGAAGGGAATTAAGCATAGCTGAGACTATTGTTAATGGAGTGTGAGATTGCTCAAATGTTTGCTCACCAGCTGGGAATGGACCTGGGGTGACAAGACTGAAGATCAAGCCTCTACAATTCATAGCCATGTTTTTATATTAAATGGTCCATTTCCTTTGAACTTAAAGAAGATGTCAATTTCTGACACGTTTTATTACAAAATGTGAAGTGTTTTTTGTAGTAATAAATGTAATATGGTCATGACTTGGTGTGTTGCTGAGAGACAAAAAACAGAGGTGGAGGAGGGGTTTTCCTTTTCCATGAGCAGCAAACTCATGTTTCCAGGGGGCTATTCCCCTACCTAGTAGGAATGGTCATCATAAAAACTAGGTAACAAACCCACCTGAATGTGCAAGGGGCCACATGGGTCATGTTTATGCAAATCTGGAAGACCTGCAGACATTCCTGAATTGAAAGCCAAGAATTAATTTCATGTTTTCTCATCCCAGTTTCTGCCAAACTGTTCTCCCCTGCATTTTGCCCGGACAGCTGGGTTCAGAAATGGCAGAGTTAAGGGAAGGTCCTTTTAAAAGAAGGGGAGTGAAGGAAGGATTGATCTGGGTCTCCACCAAAATAGCCTCTAAAAGCTCTTTATGTCAGGGAATGAAAGAAGTGGAAGAGTCCCAAAAATAGTTACTTCAGTTAAAAGAAAAAAAGAATCCAGATTTACATGGCTGTCTGAAACAATTCTGCAGCCCAACCTACAGACTGTGCCTTGGATTGTGTGGCAGCTGACCCCAAAATGCTGCAGGGGTGGAGAGTTTGCACTACAGAGGAAACCCCCCATCCTTGAGGGGAGAGAAGGCTGGAATAAACACGCAGAAAGGCAGCCCCTGCAAGGCCTGGCCCCTGCTCTCCAGCTGCTGCAGAGCCTTCCAGAGCTGTCCCTGCCACTCCTCCCCAGGGGACAGAGCTGCTCCTCAGGCAGGTGCTGCCCCAGCCCAGGACACGCTCCCTGGGAACACTGGGAACACTGGGATCTGCTCTGTGCTCCTGGGGAAGGGCTGACCACCAACAGCTCCTGTTCCAAACAGCAGGCACTTCCCTTCGACCACCAGGCAAATTAGCTGGGACTGCCAATCCTTTGGGGAGGCAGGATTGAGAGTTAAAAGACTTCTTTTTTTCCAGTGAAAGCAAGCCTACAGCAAGACAGCAAAGTTCCCTAAGGAATGTATTTGGAAGAGGGGAAAGTGTATTTACTAAATGGGTTCTTTAGACCTAACTGGATTTCCAAGGTAGCTTTATTTATTTATTTCAAGACACATTTAATAATACTGTCGAGATCCATGTTCCATTAATTCTAACGTGAATGTTTCACAACAGAACAGGTGTCTCACTTTTTAATGTATCCTCCAGTGATATTCAACATTTCATCCACTTGGACTATAACACATTAAACTTAATGGGGGTTATGTGAACTTTTACTGCATTCCTTTTATTTCAGTCTATGATATTATTTAATGACACTGCATTTGCAGCAGCGCTTTGAGCTGCACAGAGCTGTGCCTACATGACAAACTGGAGGTGGCATCTCACACAGAGGGGAGCAGGAGGTGACCTGCCAGGTCTGTTGCCTGTCACAGATGCAATCCCTGGCTGCCTGCAGTGGTCAGTGAAGAGCCATCATCACATTTTCAGCACAGGGGAGTCGTTCTGGGTGTTTTATCACAGGGTGCAGGAAATGCTCACCCATGTCCACACTTTGTGCATGTCTGTCTTAGCACAGCAAGTTAGAGATGTGGTCTCTGACAGTTATAGCTGATTATCTGCTGGAATCCAGAACTATTCAGGTGGGAGAGAGGAAGGAATCCAGTTTGTCCTCTTATATATCTCAGAAATATCAAAGCAGCTTTAAAACTCTGTGGAGATAGCTGTGCATCATGCTGCAGCACAGAAGCCACTTTCCCAAGGATGAATTGCATCTATTTTGCCATTTGTTGGTTGATGCTGCAATGTTTAATTCATTTGTTTGATTGCAGTTGGAGGTGGTGTTGGAGTACAGAGCTCTTTGCTTTAGGGGAAAGGTGACTGCAGGCAGGATGTGGGATGATTAGGTACTTGTAAGCAGCACTGATGAGTAAAAATATAAACGTGGAGACAAGAGGCTCTTGAAGATAATGATCACAGGGGGTGGGATTTAGAGAGACAACCAAATAACACTGAAGATCTACAAAGTACTTTTGACATTGCCAGTGACTGGAACTTGCTGCAATTATCAGTCCATGAGACAACTGTGAACAGAACTTGCTGCCTGTGTCTCTGCTCATTCTCAACTCCACAAACAAGACTGAGCTTGAATAGAGTCGGAATCATTATTTTTCCAAAAATATCAGAGGAGCATCTGTCTGTTGTGTGAAGGCACTGAAGGCAAAGGTTATTTACCCACCATTCCCAGTGCAGCTACTGCAGTTTGATCCCACCTCTGGCCACACTTTGCAGTTTTCTTTCCCAAAGAACTTGTGTGGTTATTCTGTTCTTCAGCAGGAGAGCTGAGCTCTATACATTATCAACATAAACGACTAAAGGGTCAAGTTTTGGCTCCACAGAACCTGAATTTTGACCTTGACTTCAGAGAAACCAAAGCTGCTGCTTTGTTCTTGCCAGTGTTGTTCCACACCACATGATCTTTATGGGACTGGGAGGGGAAGCAGTAAAAATATTTACAGTAAGTAGCCAATACATTGGCCTTCCTTTTGTATGCGTGTATTGCTCCCTATTTTACTAACATTGTTCTATTTAACCTCAAACAGATCATTTAGGGAACTCCTGTGCATTTACTGGTTTTATTCAAACAAGGACAAATGTAAATCGATAGGCAGGTCAATAGAGCTCCTTTGAAATCAGCTGGATTCAACTGAGATTTTATTAGTGCCCATCTTGTTTTGTTAATACTTTAATTCTAAAGACTTTTGCCAGGAAGAACAAACACCTAAATATGCTGGAGCGGAATGGCTCCTCTTTCACAATGTTTAGGCACCAGTAGGAATGTCAAGGTGTAAACCAAGACCTGAAGAGCAGAGCAGCCTCTTCATCCTGTTCTGTGGACAAGGGATGGAGGAGGAGGTGGCCTAGTAAGTACCAGGAGCACACTGGAATGATAAAGGAAGAACATGAACATGTCCAAGACCTTCTGGAGCTTTCCAAACAAAATCTAAAACTACTTTCAAGGGTTGTTCAGAGGTCACCCTGGGCTTGAAGAGCCCACCTAACATGTTTTGTGAGTAAAACAAGTAAAGTTTGCATCCATGGCTGTTCTCAGTGACGGGCAGAGCACTGTGAGAACAACCACACACTTGCAATAGGCTAAAATGAACTTGCTTTTAATCCTGTTTTGAGAGGAGGTGACGCTCTAAAGATTCAAATGCAATTTCTCAAAAATGTGGAATGTTTATAAATTATGGGAATCTGTTCTTAAGATCCTTTGCTCCATTTCCTAA